GATCAAAAAATCTACATTATACAAAAATCAATGAGACTAGACATATATTTGATTTAATTGGATGATCGACCACCCCAACTTCCCTTGCATCAATGTTGTAAATTCTTTAAAAACCTAAAAAAAGGTATGATCACCCACATAAATTCCTTTTAACACAATGTGTGATTGTTATTTTTCTTTTTTAGTTACATCATTGGATAACATCATTGGATAAAATCATTATTGAATAATTTCTTCGGCTCATGAAAAAAACTAAATCAGGAAAAAAACTTTTTTTTATTTTAACTAATGATGGATAGATGACGTCTTTGATCACTCGCCCGATTTTTTTTTATTATTAGAAAAATATATGTATAATATAGCAATCAACGAACACAATTACGTAATAAATTTTTGTTTGGTATAAACGGGAAACTCTCCAGAATTTAACTATCTTTTTTTTATTCTCACACATTTCTAATTAATTTTTTACCTTCTAATAAAAAATTAAAAGTACAATATGGAACCTATAAATTCGTCAAAAAAAAATCTATCCGAAAAGTCATTTGAAAAGTCATTTGAAAAGTCATTTGAAACGTCATTCGATAAGTCATCCGAAAAGTCATTCGATAAGTCATTCGATAAGCCGTCCGAAAGATCATCAGAGAAACCATCAAGACCGGTTGTAACGCGTATTAATACGGGAGATCGTAGTATACCTAAAATTATTGAACCAACTGATGATAATGTGGTTAATTTTGAAATAATTGAACAAAAGCAAAATAATCAAGATATAAACATAAATATGCTTGCATCACAAGTTGAAGATTTTTTTGTTACTTCACCAACAGATTCAATTGATATTTCTGTACGCGACATAAAATCAGATGAAGCTGATGGGGTTTTGGTAGCACTTGTTGATCGAGAAGCAGAAATGAAAGATTTATTTGAGAAAAATGATGAATATTTTGAAATGGTTAAAAATAGTATCTTTTCTTCAGAAGAAAATGGTGAATGGCAAGAATTTCTTGAGATTCTTTACTCTCCACGTGATCGTATTCCGGACTTGGATTGGATGAATAAAATTTCAGGATTCTTGGAGATGAATCCACAACTTTTGGCAAATTTCAAAGAAATTGTTGGATTCTATGATAACACAGAAGATCACATGATAACATCTGAAATTAACGAAGAATATGAAGAAATCACAGAGATTGTAGATATAACACTTATAAGAGATCGACCGAAAATCATGGAAAATATTTTAAATTCATATCCCCAATTTTTTATAAATGCACAACAGTTAATGAGTCAAGTGCAAAAACGACCTGGGAGTGCATTGGGTAGAAATCATTTAACAGATGATATACCATTTCAAAATTTTGACATGCCACTTGAAAATTTGAACGAACTTGATGAACATGAATTTCATGAAGTTGTTCATGAACATCTTTACGAACATCATGAGCCAACAGAATCTACATCATACCAGGATCATTATTTAGGCAATAATGGAAATAATAATAATGGAAATAAAAATGGAAATAATAATAGAAATAATAATGGAAATAATAATGAATCAATGGAAGAAAAAACATTGTATGATGAATTTAAAAAGATATTGATTTGTCCAAGAAGTGAGATGAGCGATGACGAATGGGAAATGGCTGTTTACGAATGTTTAGATCCTTGGCCTCAGCTTGTCGCACAATTTGAAGAAATCGTTGCATACGAAATCAACGAAATTAGAAATGATTAACGTTTTTAAATACGTAGTGACGATAGTATAACCGAGTACGTATAACTGAGTACGTATAACTGAGTACGTATAACTGAGCACGTATAACTGAGCACGTATAACTGAGTACGCATAACTGAGTACGTATAACTGAGTACGTATAACTGAGTTTAACTGATTATAACACAGTATAACAGAGTTTAACTTAGTATAACAGAGAATTTCTTTTTATAAAATTTGAATTTATGATTCTCTTACATATATATGTAGTTCTTTTTATAACGATATGGTAATTCCTTTTTATTAACCCGCATAAATATAGATATGTACACATACACAAACATTATAACATTATACTTATAGTTTTGCGAATGGATGTATCGGTGTGAATGGAAGTGTGTACAAAGGTACATGGTACAGTACATACGTAAGCTTATGTACAGTACAGTACAGTACAGTACAAAAAAAAAAAAAGAAAAAATCAATGATAAATTTTTGTTCGCAATTTCGCAATCTACCAAATCAAATACCAAATCAATCTGCCAATCCACGGAAATTGTATGCACTTTAACAAGTTCGTCCATTACCGAGGACATGCAGAATCTCACGATTATCATAATATAACAATGATTATTGACAATAATAATTATAGTAATTACAATTATTATTATTACGTTAATAATGATAATTATTTATCTCGTTATCGCTATTGACAATTATTGAAATTATTGCAGCTATTGCAGTTATTGCAGTTATTAAATAATTACTGATAATTATTACAATTACAGTTTATTACAGTTATTACAATTATTGATGATTATTGTATAAGTGATTTAGTATAGAATTATTACTTTTCTTGGAGTTCCTGGAGATCGAATATGCGGCCGTGCGTAATTAAATATAAACTTATACTGGGCATTTATTTGGTCATTTATTTGGCCATTTATTTGGCCACTTATTTATACTCAAATACGTATATCGATATACTCAAATATATTGTCAAATAAATATATTGTCAAAATATATTGATATATATATACACATGTGAACATATAATATGAACACATATACACATATATACATATAGATAGACCTGGCGGATGGGTAACGTAACACCAGAATTCATTGATCCATTGTGATCAAGACATTAAGGAAAATCCCAGTGATAATATTGACCCCACGTGTCAATTTCATCTAAAAAAAAAATCGGCTAATTTATCCTTAACGTTAATTATTATATTATTACGTAATTATGTAACCGCATATTCTAAAGAAAGTCGTTATCTTTTTGATAGAAAAAAGATAATGAGCATTATTTATCTCATTCATGCATTTTATTTTGATCTAAATATTTTGTCAATAAAAAATTCATTCATACCCATTCATTATTATTATTATATCTGTTCGATTTAATACCGGATTTTACCTCTGTGTGTGTGTGTGTGAATTATTCTTTTATTATTTTATTCTTTTATTATTTTATTATTTTATTATTTTATTATTTTATTATTTTATTACTGTGAATCATGACTGAATTTAGGTGAGAAAAAATTACATTTTTTAAACTACTCCGAAACGCCTCAAAAAAACCTTCATTCCCTGTTTATAATATAGTAACACAATATCACATGACGATCCCTATTGTATGATTACAAATTTAGAAGGGCATTTGAGAAAATCTTTGTACATTAAGGGTTCATTTTTCCAATTATTAATTTTTAAAAAAGTAAAAAGAAACGTAATTGTGACTAAAGGAAATAACCAAAAAAAATGCAAGTCAAGACAAATTAGGGAATTAAGAAAAAAAAAAAAGTTGAGATATGTATGTATGTACGTAAGTACGTACCTTAGATGGATAAGTAGGTTGCTTTGAAAGAGATTCGGTAAGATCCATTAAAATGAACAAAATGGATTAACTTTGCTCCGCAGAGACAATTAAGATCCTGAGATCGGATTAGCAAATTATTTATTTATTTTTATTTATTGTATTATACGAACCGGTATAAATATAATATAAATGTGATATAAACGTAATATAAACGTAATATAAATATATCTGATACATATATACATATACGTATCGTAAATATATATATTTATATATCATAAATATATCATAAATTTATAATATCGATATGTAATTTAGAATTAAAGATATTAGGAATCAATATGAATTAAAAAAGATATAGAATGAAAAATACAATAAAGCAGTAAAATCAGGAATTAACCGAATTAACCAAATTAAACGATTTGAAATATTATCTTTATTGCTATTATTTAATAATAATATTGTTTGTTAAAAGACTCCTGAGTTTCAACGAATGAAGCAGATAATCACGCCTTTAAAATAAACAAAGTATGCGCATACATTTTTAACGATACCATGTTTGTTACTTTGGATGCCGTGTTTGTTATTTAGAATTTAAAGAATATATGAAATCGGATCATACGATTCGACTATTTATTGCATACAATGAAGGGATTTTGTCAGGTTAATAAAAACACTTTGACAGTATGTTTGGAACTTGAGTTTGGCACTACGTTTGGAACTATGTTTGGTACTATGATGGCAATGTATTAGCAATGTAGATTAGCAATGTAGATGGCAATGTATTGGCAATGTAGATGGCAATGTAGATGGCCAATGTAGATGGCAATGTAGATGGCAATGTGGTTGGGGTAAGCTGCATACTTCTTTACATAACTCACATAACTCACATAACGATAACACATAACTCACATAACGATAACACATAATTCACATAATTCAATACGTAAACAATAACGGGAACGTAACTTTGAAAGTTTATAAACAAGAAAATAATAATCATGAGAATACCAAAATTTACCCAAATAATAATTCACTTGTGTTCTTTATCAGGGCAAAATTTTTTTTAAAGTACTAAATACGATAAATTATAAAACTTGGTAATTGCAGAATATTGCATACATTGTCACAATCAGAAAAAAAAAAAAAAAAAAGCAAAAATTGGGAATGCATTCATTTGAATTAACATTTACGGCTCTTCAATGAAGCGGATAAACATCTTGGAATCCATGCTCCGATTGAAATAAGATTTTATTGTATACATTCTACATACGTATAATTTTCTATTTTACATTCTTTTACATTCTTTTACGTATACTGTTATAAATTCTATTAATAAATTCTATTAAACATTCTCATACATTCTCTTATACATTCTCTTATACGTACGCATTCTATCATACATTCTATCATAAATTCTATTATCATTCTATATATTCTACAAGTGTTCTATATTTCTGTATACTATGTATGCTACGTATTTGTTTTACATGTTCTATATGTTTCTATTTGTACTAGTCAGATAGAATAGTATCGGTACAAGTGTATAAGTGGTATAAATGATAAAAGTAGTATAAGTCTATATACACTATGTATCTACACTATATATATATATATACAGTATGTACATACGATATTTATATATATATACTAAACTTATACGTACAATATACAATATCAGATATATACTAAACTTATACAGTACATACGTAAACTTATATCGATATACTTTATCGATATACTTACGTAACGAAAATTAAAAAAACAATGAAAAAGTATTTTTATCAAACGAGTTTCATAAACAAAACAATACAATAAGAGTATATTCTAATGAGAGAGATCGTGCTTTATTTATTTTTATGTGGATGGTCAGTTGACCTATTACTACTAAATTAAGTGAAAATAAAGGTCGGAAGAATGACATAATTTATTTAACCGGAATGACCCCGGTCTTTTATCCCCGTACCATTTTTTTGGTACGCTATTTCTGTATTCTGTATTTCTATATTTCTGTATTTCTGTAATTTCTGTAATTTCTGTATTTCTGTATTTCTATATTTCTGTATTTTACATACATAACATACATAACATACACATAACATACATAACACACATAATACACTTAGTATACTTAACATACATAACATGATATACGGCACGTACGTAAGTACTTGCTTATTTACATACCCGATATTTACATATTTAGCGTATTTACGTACGTATTTACGTGGCTACTCATAATTATGTATATCATTTTCATTAACATCATTATTAACCGGAGATACATTATTTCCCAAAATAAGTTTACAGAATGTTAATCTTTTCCTTTTATATATAAAAGTTTACAAAGTAAGCTATCAAAATAAGTGTTATCGGACAAAGAATTCTCTGAACGAAAAAAAAAAACTGTCCGCATGACGCATATTATTTTACGTTTGTCTAACATACTTTATACATTGAATACCATCATTCCCTATTTAATCATCTTTCATGTGCGTCATCGATACAAGTTTCGGCCCCAAAAAAATCTACTCTTAAGGATCAAATAAGCGGGCTGTTTACGTTTCATCATGAATTGGCGGCTGCCGAGGTTTCCCAAACAAAGGCACAAACAAGTTAATTTGTAACGAACAATGTTCTCGGTTACTAATTAAAATGTCTTTTTCACGCTTCATTTTAAATTTAGGTTTTTACGTATCGCATATTTACGTCCGCATATTTACAAGATTGGATCCTAAATGAATATCAACATGGGTTAGCTCCTTTTTCCTTTCTCGGTCCCATACAACTTCTTTTTAGTTCTCTTATTCGATGTTCATTCAATCTCCTGTTCTATTTTATTCTATTTTATTTTATTCTATTTTATTCTATTTTAATTCTATTTTATTTCTATTATAAATTCGCTTATCATCTACATTATTACATTATTGTCTATCCTAAATAATATAATAATATATTTATCATTAATCATCTTTTTAACAATATATCTTTCAATGTTTACTACTCTTGATCTGGTATTATTCAACTTTAGGTACGCGGCGTATCTTTGGTCATCTTTGGTCATGCAATAAGTAATAATCATGCATGACCCGATAATCATTTTGTCTCAATTAGGTCGGAAAAATCCTTGTTTATTCCGATTCATTTTTAAAATAATCATTACCCGAACTATCTTTAAAATTTATATTTTTAAATATATTTTTTAATTTATATTTTTAATTATATATTCTAATTTAATAAATATTTATTATTATTCTAAATTCTTTGAAGATTGTTTAACTAAATGTTGAACTAAATGTTGAACTAAATGTTGAACTAAATGTTGAACTAAATGTTGTTGTATTTAACAATCTCAAATGAATAAAAGGACAAAGAAAAAAAATTTCCCTATTCGCCGTTTTTATTTTTATTTTTTTTTTCGGTTTCTTACTACTACTATTACCCATCATTCTCATTGTCTATCCTTTTGCAATTTCCGCTTATATAATTATATCTTTTGATTTTTATAAAAGGTGTGTTAACGTCCTTTTTTTCTTTTTTTTTTTTTTCTTTGTTTATTATATAAAATAACTTTCTGACTGACTATCTCATCTGTCTGTACTGTTTGTACTGTTTGTCTGTCTGTCTGTTTAAAACTGTTAAACTTGTTGTTAAACTGTTATTAAACTATAAAAAAAAAAAAAAAAAATTGTTTCTTATATATTTTAAAAAAAAAAAAAATTTTTTTTAAAGTTTTGTATAAAATTAAAAAAAAAAAAATGTTTAAGATGTCGTACTACTGTTTCGAAACAGCCAAGAATCATCGACTTGTAAGTCCTTTCTCTCAGTATGGTAGACCTCCATATCAATTATCAAGATCCGAAATTGTTGAACGAATAATTGCTGAAACGATCGATGATGCAACTCTTGTAAAAATAAAAAAACATACTACTCTTCCTTTACCTGAACTTATCACTCCAAGTGTAAATGTTCGAACGGTTAAAAATCCAAGACCTCAAAACAGTTTTGTAATTTATCGAAGAAATGTTCAAGCGGAAATAGCCAAAGAAAAAGGTGCTACTGCTGCCGGTAGATTGGATTACGTTTCTAAATTCGCTGCTAATAAATGGAAACATGAATCTCAAGAAGTTAAGGAACTTTACGGTTTTCTCGCTATATGCGCAAAGAAAGTTCATGATTTCATGTATCCTGGCTATGTTTATCAACCTAAAAGACAAGCCACCACAAACGAACCCATGATAATGGTACATGAACCCGGTATAAATGGTTGTAAATTAAGGCAACCCGTCCCAACTCCTCCTGAAACTCCTTTATCATCTCCTCCAACAAGAATGTCAAGACAATATAATTCTCCTCCATTATATCAACATCAACAACCTTTACCTCCTCCTCCTCCATTTTTACCTTCAGTTGATCATCATACTCCTTCATTCGGTGCTTTTCCTCCACTTAATCATTTATCTCCTCTTCCTCCATCAACACTTCTTCCTCCATCAACACTTTCTCATCAATCTCATCAATCTCATCAATCAACACTTCCTCATCAATCTCATCAATCAACACTTCCCCATCAATCAACACTTCCTCCTCCATCAACACTTCCTCCTTCATCAGCACTTCCTCCTCCGTCAACACTTGATATAAATATATCTTCAAATATCATGTCAAATTATGATCGAAGACTATGTAAAGAAATTGACCTTGCTGTAAGGTTAAATTAATCTTGTTGCAAGGTTACAATATTGTGTTGGGTTATGGGATTACTTACTGTATTGGTATTTGTAAATTATTTTTCTCTATATATATATATATATATGTGTGTGTTTTTTACCATTATCAACAAGATTAATAGAAAACAAAAGGTTCTTTATTTTTTTCTTGTGTTGCTTTTTCAAGAAATCTTGTCTTCTACTTTGCGTGCAAAAAAAAAAAAAACAAAAAAAAATAGGGTGGTTTTTCTGCATTATCAAAGTCAATGTAAATTATTTACCATATACATACTTTTTTTTAAAAAAAAAAAAAAATGCGATAAGCAAAAAAAAAAAAAAAAAAAAAGTCCCCCCACACGATTCCTATCTTTATGTGATCCTTTGAAAAAATATATATTCTTCAAGTGTGCATATGTATATAACATTATTACACACTATTTATTCATTATATTTCATTACGAAAAACAGAATAAAGGATCATTCTTCTATCATTTATTTCCAAACAAAATATCATATATATATATTCAGCATTTAACAATTTTAACACAGTATTTTAATCACAAGCATTCATTTTCTTTATTAAAATATCGTACCGCATTTTTTTTAAATATATATATGTAACAAGCGAACAAGCACGCATTTGTTTTTCTGGTTAAAAAAAAAAACAATTATATATATCTCTTTTTTATTTATTCTGTATTATGACATTGAAAAAAAAAAAGACAATTATGACCAAGAATTCAAATAAAAATCAAAGTATTATGTGCCGTAAAATGTTGATTAAGAAAGGTGGGAATTGGGAATATGTGATTCTTTAACTAGATCATTTTCTCCATGCAAACCGTTCCTACATCAACAGTAAATACTTAATATTCTTTAGTAAATTTTGTAATATTCTTTAGTAAAAATTTTGTAATATTTTTTGATGAATTTTGTAATATTCTTTAGTAAAAATTTTGTAATATTTTTTGATGAATTTTGTAATATTCTTTAATGAATTTTGTAATATTCTTTAATGAATTTTGTAATATTCTTTAATGAATTTTGAATTTGTAATATTCTTTAATGAATTTTGAATTTGTGAATGTGAATTTTGTACGTACGTACGCACGTACGTACGTAGCCAGAATTTTCTGTAGCAAAAATACTCCATATACTCACGCGTGTGTACATTCTACTTTTGGAAGTCGAGGCTCGTCAAAGATCACCAGACACTTTTTTTACTTTTTTAATAACGAAATTACGAAATTATATGCAATGCATACGCATAGAATACACATTTTTTATCCGTGCGTTAATAAGTACTTTTTGCCTGTACTAAAATTATTTAGTATTCCCCCTTGAAACTAATCTAACTTTCACGCATATCGCCATAGTCGCCATAATGGTCGATGATGATTCTCTTGTTTCATTTTGTGTTTATTCATTTTTTTATTCATTCTGTATCGATTCACTTATTTTTTTGACGATTCACTTTTTCATTTCACTTTGATGACTTTATTAGATGATTCACTTGCATTTAGGCGAAAACATTTTGCCTAAACTAAACCAAGGTAGCCGTTTTTGGCACATGGACGCCAATCTAAAATAATTACTTGAAACAACTCAATTTATCTAAATTAAAATGCGTCATATTAAATGACATACCGACTCCGTCACTCTTATTAATGCTTGGTTTATCGTTATCGTATCATGATTATTATTTGATTATTATTTGATTACTATTTGATTATTTGATTATTTGATTATTATTATTTGATGTTTATTATACGCATGAAAATCTTTCGGAAACTTCCCGGAGATAATCTTTTATCTATACTCTAAATCTAGTAAAATAATAATTATTCACAATAAAACTTTACTGTAAATCAAAAAAATCTCAATAACTTAGGATCTATATATACTTTTTGTTTCGTGTTTCGTTTTTATACCTTTATAAACTAATTCATTGCTAATTAAAATTATACTAGTTTTATTCTATCGGTTTGTTTCAAATGAACTGATCCGTTCCGATACCTTTATTGTTTATTTTTTTTATGGCTTAACCATTTTTTGTGTTTATCTCTTAAATGAACCAATTAATAGCTTGATAAGGAAAATCTCGATACTCTAAAAAGAATTACCTATTATGTACCTTTAATTTTATCATATTATGTGTTAATCTTTTTATTTTTTATTTTTTTGTACGTACGTATCTCTATACGTACCGGTACTTACGCACTTACGTACGCACTTACGTACGTACGTAAAATGTTTCAAAATTAAAAATCTTTTACTTTTTGGGTAATTTCATATTTGTACCTAATGTTTAACTAGACTTGTAAATTTGTATCGCAAAAAAATAATCTTGGTTAGACTTTTTTGTTCTTGGCATGGCTTAAAATATACTATAAATTTTTATACGTATTTATTTTATAATTAGATTTAATTTATATATATATAATTAGGTTTAAAAGATACACGTACGTACAAGGTACGTATATACTATTTATTAAATACGTAATAGAAAGTGAGTTAATAAAAAGCAAGCAAAATTTTTATAACAAAAATTTTTTAAATTTTTGAATACAAATAACTTTTTATAGCTATTATGTTTTACTTATATATTACTTGAAGAATAATTATATATAGTTCAAGAGCCAATGCTTGTAAGTTACTGTTGCTATTGACTAGCAATATTAACTTTATAGCATATTTTTAGTATTTTAGTAATCTTTTGTAATTTTTTTAAATTTAATTTAGATAGTTCAAAAAAACTAACCTGTTTTTTTTTAGTATTAAGGTAAGATTATATCTTTTATTTTTTATTAGATAAATTGGTTATAGTAGTTGTTTTACTTAATTGTATATTATTAAGAATATAAGCTTAAACTAATTTATCTATAACCTAAACCTACTAGAATATGCTATATTTCTATTATGTATTGAGTTATACTTGGATTTTGTATTTAGATTACTTTTAGTTATTTACTGCATTCACCTCATATTTTATTATCAAACTTTAATTATTTTCAAATTAGTTCAATTAGATATTTAGTTCTTTATAACTTTTTATTTTGGTATACCTGTTATTTAAATTCTAATATTAATATACAAATAGCTTTTTATATATATTTTCAAGCCAAGTTTTTGCTATTGTTATTAATCTTATATAAGAAGCATTAATATTATATATAGACCTTAAAGACTTATCTTATATTTGTATTTTTTTTTAACTAGCCTCTTTAGAGCTAAGATTTTTATTTAAGTATTTGAGTGGAGAGGTTTATAATAAAACCTCCTATTATATTAGAGAGTACATCCAGTTATACATATATTTTTGGTGTCTAATTTAAGTAGTTTGCCTACTATTGTAGATTTTATACTGTGTATTGTATCTGTAATCCAACTATTGGTACTATCCATTTAAACACTCTGTAATACAATCTACTTGTATCACTGATATATCTTTGTTATATTTATTAATCAAAAGGTTTTAAATATTTTTTTTTATTTCTTTAGAACTAATTTATTCTTAAGATATTGTTGCTAGAGCTTTTCATATCTACAATCTGGCTAATCTAGACTTTGGTAACTTACACTGAATCTGAAAATAAGTATTTACAAGCTGAAACTGCTATTATTATTTATTTTTGTTTTTGTAGAGTTTACTCAAACCTTAGCATTCACTTTACAGACTATTTATTATATCTTCAGTTTTTCTAAATTCCCAATTCAGATAGCCTAGAAAGGTGGTTTCTTTTTTCAGTTATCTGACAGCCTGATTGGTATAATATTTTTGCCAAACACCTTGGTTCTGTTCAGTTTTCTGATTTTCTGAATGATGATCCTTTATATAATACTGTCAAAAGTCTGTATTACCTTTCTATTTGAATCTTGTCAAATGAACTTTTGTGTATTTCAAACCTCTAAATTTACCCAGCTGCTTTATTCAGATTTTGTATATCTTATACAGCATAATAATACTCTATAGCCTCTCAGTTCAAGCTAGTATAATTAAAGTTACAGATGTTGATCTGTTAGATTATACACAGTTTGCTATAACACATTTTGTAAAATTCAAATTTTGTTATCAATGTGATTCAAACTCTGTTCTGCCACTTAAAAGTGTGACAACTTATCAACTTCACTAAGTTGTCACACCCTTTTTATATTTGTATTATTAGTTTATATATAATATTTTTATAAGATATTTTGGTTATATAAATGTTTTAAGTTTTTTTATTTACTTGTTTTAGATATACTAACCTTATATCTCAAGTCAGAACTTTGCTACTACATCAGCATACTAATTCACACTTTTTTAAAATCTTGCCAATATTGCGCGTCAATCATAAATATTATGTAATATTACGGTTTTAAAAATTTGCTGATGTATTACTGGTTTGCTTTCACCAGATTTTAATATTTTTTTAATTATTTAGTATAATATACTTTTTTTTTTCTTTAGCAATCTTGTTTATTTTATTATAAAAACAAACTTTTTTCTTATATAAGAAGAAATCTAAATCTATAGTGTTTTGACCAAAAGATAAACTTACTCACAGCTTTATCTCACAGATACTATAACATCTACTTGCAGTCAAAATGAACCATTAAACTGCTGTGTTTTGTCTAAATACGATCTGCCTAACAAATGATTAGCCTTTTCTAGAGATCCAGAATTTACTCCAAACTTATTTTCTCTGAATTTATTGACTAACTGTTGTACTACCCTGTCATAATTCCTGCTTTACAATAGAATATTACCAATCTGATGACACTTTCTTATAAAAAAGGAAAAAGAAAATAAAAAAGATTGTGAAAATTGAAAAAAAGGTATAAAAAATAAAACTAATACATCAAAAAAATGAATACTAATATTAAGGAATATAAAAAACTAAACTAAAACTTAAAAGAAACTATTGCTAGAAAGAAGAAAACTTGCTAATTAGACGAAGACTTCTAACTATACAAATTAATGAACTACTATTAAATACAAGAGCTTTGACTACACTATAACTTGTGTTAGAGTTTAAAAATTACATATTAGATACTAGACAAATTAGTCTCTACTTCTTCATTTATCTACCTAGTATATCAAAGTAAAAACCCGATAAGAAAAACTTAATCAACTGGCTTAATTGTAGAGAGATCAGAGCCAAGTCTCAGGCATCATTTGTACAGATATCTATTGTATTTAAAGCACATATTTATACATATTTGTTATTCTATTCTGATTTGAGAGGTAAACAATGCCAACTTGTTTTATATACGTAATATCGATTATTTGAAGAAGGTAAACTAAAATAGCCACTTTTTACAAAAATTTCTCTATATAAGGTTCTTCTTGTAAGTTTTATAGCTACAGTCAACCCTCCATAAATGCACCCTCCATAAATGCACACCTCCTATAAATGCACACTATTCCTTATCCCAAGCTTGGGAATTAGATATAAATGCATTTCCTCTATAAATACACTGCATGGTTTTTTTTAAAACCTGTTATATAAAATATACCCTTCCTAAATGCATGCCTGATAATAATTTAAGATTTGCATTTATCTGTTGTTTATTAAAAACTAGTTTGTCGAACTTTTTATGTTGTTGTAATTGATTTATCTGTATTACAATTTTGATATCAAAATAGTTCTAACCTGATTTAACAAGAACCATTAATGCCTTTAAAGAAATAAATTATACATTTTAAGGCAATTCATTCAATAATAATTTAGAACCTAATTATAAAATAACGATATCTTGAATAATCTTTGTAACCGCATTTGATTTATTGATTCTAATAGCTATTAATTTGCAAATTCGCTTTAGCACTTGTGTTTAATAGCCTCTATTATACTATATAATATTTAAAAATTGTGTTTAACTAAAAATGTTAAAAAGCAAATTCAAGCCAAGGTTTAAGATTTTAATTAAAATTCAAACCAAGGTTTAAGATTTTAATTAAAATTCTTATTGAACTTACTATATTTATAGTGTATTATACAATTATAAATTAGACAAGAACTATTTTGTTAAAATTAAAATTTAATAACCTCTTAAATCCTATTTATATATCGTTTTGATATTCTTTTTACCTATTCAATTCTAAATTCTAAATTCTAGAATGGATTCTTAGTTAATACTTAATCTTGAATAATAATAAAAAATTATTATTCATTTATGCATTTAAGCTATTAGACATATATATATACACATGTACATTACAAAAATTAATAAATTGTGTTAGTAAAATATTAAACCTTTATAAATAGTGTTTACAAAAAAAAAACATACATATCGTTCATATTTGAATCTCTTAAACTACATTGCTTTATCATTATCTTTAAATAAAATGCCACCAAAAAATAAAATTACATTATCTGAATCTCAAAAATATGAATTTTGTTTATATGTTCGTAACAATATTAAAATAACTCGAAAAGAATATGTAAATTGAATTGAAAAAAAATGGAGAGTTAGAGTAGATGAATCAACAATAACAAGAATTTTACAAAAAAGTGAAGAAATACTTAGCACTGATATTACTTGCCCAGATGCTAAATGGCATAAATCTGTAATAATTCCTGAGCTTGAGCTTGCTTTAAAGGAATTCATTTTAATTTACCAAAGTAAAGCTATTTTGAGTGAAGCAATTTTAGTTGAAAAAGCAAAACAATTAGCTGAAGGTTTAGGTGTTCCAGATGGAACATTAAAATTTTTAGCTGGGTGGATTTACAAATTTAAAGAACGTAATGGGATTTGTCAGCAAAAACTTCATGGTGAAGAAGCATCAGCTAATATAGTAGCTATTACTAATGCTTTACCTTTGCTAAGAAGTAAATGTGAAGACTATCCACTTGAAAGAATATATAATATGGACGAGACTGATATTTTTTATAGATTAGAGCCAGATATGACACTAGCTACACAATGACTTTCTGGTCGTAAAAGAGATAGAGAAAGAATTACTGTTGCTTTATGTACTAATGCAAATGGATTACATAAATTAAATCCATTAATTATTGGAAAATTTGCGAAACTACGATGTTTTAAAAATATTAACCTTAATAGCCTACCTATGACATATCATAGTAATAAAAAGGCTTGGATGCTTACTACTATTTTTCAAGATTGGCTTCAGAACTTTAATAGAGAAATGGCAATAAAATATGGAAATCAAAAAGTTTTATTGTTACTTGATCAATGTTCAAGCCACAAAGTAGGTGATTTGATTCTTTCAAACATTAATGTTCATTTTTTGCCTCCCAATACCACATCAAAAATCCAGCCAATAGATGCTGGAATCATAATGTCAATGAAAAGACATTATCGTAGTTTGCATATTAGATGGATTCTAAATAAAGTTCAAGAAGGTGAAGATATTAAAAATCTAAAAATGAATATATTGCAAGCAATAAACTATATTATTAAAAGCTGGAAAGAAGTAATATCAAAAACTATTTATAACTGCTGGAATCATACTAAAATTCTTCTTCAAGCTTCTAATATTGAATCAGGTTCTTCTTTTAATGATAATACTCCAACCTTAAAAGAACTTGACCAAGAAATTTTAGCTCTTAACTTGCCTAATCCAATGTCAGCAGAAGAATTTTTAAATAACCCACAAGAAAAAGTAATCTATGAAGTTCCTGACGATGATAAAATCATTATTGAAGAGCTTGTTGAATTA